AAAAAAGAAGGAGAAAAGGCAGAAGAGGAAGCTCCAGTTGACAAGGTGGGATTAACGGACACATGGCGATGAGATCACAATAATCACTAAGGATCATATACAATTATTATTAATTATTTAAAGTAATCTCAACAGAATCTGACCCTTTGTTCTGAGTGTTTTCAGCTACACATGGCCTACTTGATCATTCTTTTGCACGGTATTGGTGTACTGATACCATGGAATATGTTTATCACTATTGCGCCGAACGTAAGGACTTTCGCATAAAGTTTAAAGCAGCACAAACTTTGAAAAGAAATTTCGCTTCAGTATTATGTGGACTATTGGTTCACGGTGGATAGAAACAGGACCGATTATGCCAAACGTTTCATGAGCGATCTTGGAATAGCTTCCCAGATACCCAACTTTCTTGCAGGACTTATCAATTTGATGCAGATTATAGGGTTTGAAGCTTACTGTTTATTTTTTTGATAGAACTGTAATTATCTAGCTAAAGGGATAACCGGACAGGTTTGAGTCCAGTTTTTCCTTTTCTAGACCATTCTGGTGTGCTGAACATGAACATCAACTTCAGTAGTGAAATAAAACAAAAACCAGAGATTCCGGGCTTTTTCGGGCTGTCGGGGAGGAGTTGCAGCGACGAGATAATCTTCAATTTTTGGTCCCAAATCATCGCATGCCCTTCTCGCCAGGGAGCACTGTTTTGAAAGAAGTCTTCACGGCCTATACTGAGAGAAAAATCACGCTGCTAACCTACCTCTGAAGCGGTTTCCTCGCTTACCATGGCAAATATTTTGTCTAAAATTGGACAGCATTGTTAGAGTTGGCCATCATAGTCTGATAAGAACTAAAAATCTTCGCTATTGCCAAGATATTTCCTTAAAGATTTAGCTCTGCACAGATTTTTAGCGGGTCGTTGCTGGTTCGAATTTATGGATGCCTCATCGTTAACAGCATAAACGTTTTAGTTATCCTAATTTTGATCGTAGCACAGAAGCCATCTGAAGAAGGTCTCAGGTCTTCCCATTAAGCTTTCTGTATTCCCGCACCGTTAAATTTATTTTCAGCGATGGGTTGGTTTTACGTGGTAACGATGATAATCATATTAGTGCTGAATACTTCTAACGGCTTTTATCAGGTCCTTCTA